CTTTTTTGACATTGTATTTGTTCAGTTTAGTATTTGTAAGTGCAATTGATGATATTGCTTCATTATAGAAATTTCACCTTTGATAATATAGTTTTCCTCTGTACAGCAGGTGTGAATCACCTGCAATATACAATAACTGAGTTGGGTTAGTGGAGAAGGTCAAACACGAAACCCAATATCACTTTTGTAATAAATACACATGCTTTAAAAGAACTGAAAAAACTGAAATATAACTGATTTGATTTTTAGTGTAAATAGAAAGATAACAATGATTGTTTTCTTGTAAACTGTAAACACAGTTAAGCATGGTATTTTGTTTTCGACCTTGAGAATTACATGAATTACTTCCCTTGTTATATTACAATTTTCAAAAGAAATTAATAACAATAAACAAACGAAATGACTAGAAGTGTAGTATGGCTATTGTTTCAGGGCCCTATCATCATCAGTTACCTAAATATGACTTTGTCTGAAGCATAACTATGAATCTGCAGGATAGAATCTTCATTTCTGCTTTCTTTGTGCTTTGTCATATCCAACAAATCCTATGTCATCATTCAGTAGGACTATGTTAATTCCTAAATCAACGGGGTAGCTTTTTTACTTATCTTGGATCTTGTTGCGTCCTTTGATATCTCTATTGCACAAGAAAACACATGCACTAATAGGCAACACTATATTCTATCACTTCTAATTTTCCTTCTAAGGACTTCCTTCTCTGTGTGCTCTGATGCCATCATGTGAGCTCCTGCAGTACTTCATGGTACTCAGTGATCCAATTAGAAACACCACAAGAAACAAACACATGGTCTCTTTCTGAAAAAATATATAATGTGGCGAATTACCTGTTGAGTTACCCCGCCTGTTGAGTTACCTCAGTAAGCATTTCTAGCCAGTTACAACCACAGTCTTCTCAGTTGCTTGGTGACTAAATCTACCATCTAAGTAAGTCATGTTGTTGGTGGTTGTTTCTTATCCCCCAAAATGCCATAATTTGCGAATTGTCATATTTGAATGTTGCATAGTTGTCATGTCACTCGTAGAAATCGTGGGATAGATTGATTGTGACTCTGCTCAGCCTGATCTTTTCCACGCCTCGCTGACACGTGTACTACTCCAAGCATAAACTACAAAACATACTTAGCACCTTTCAGAACATCTACATCTTCTTCCACTCTTGTAGAGGGTAGATATTTTTGTAAGTATTCAGGGGATGATAGTCAATGCTCAGCCTGAACTTACCATATTTCTTCTTCATGAGCACTATCAATGAAGCATGTGGCTTGGATAATCTTTAATAACTCCTTGCTGTAGTGCTTACTGAAGATATTCTCTTACCTCGACCCATTGCTGTGGTTCAACTCTTCTATAGGGCGCATTGACTGGCTTATCATCAATGGTGATGATATGGTGTTTTATTATATCATAGTACCCATTATCATCTTCATCTTTGCCGAAAAAATTTGGAACCTGATAAAGCCCTCCAATTGCTTTTGTTGTTCATCAGTTAGCATGTTACCAACATTATCTTTGCCAGAAGGTCTGCAGCAACTGAGGTTTCAGTGGTACAATACTGGAAACACCCTACTATGTACTACATACACCTTTAGGGTTGTCTCGAACATGCCAACTGGTGTTCTCGGTAGCAAGTGGAAATCAGCATTATCGAAGTTGGCTACTAGGATAGGCACAATTATTTATACATGTATATAAGATGCAGCGATTGCTACACCATTTTGCAGCTCAGCTACATTCAGAGTGCCTTTCCACCAATGCATGGTAAGCCTGTCCCCTTACTGATGAATCAACTACTTTGGCTGTACATGCAGGGATCATCATCTAGTGACTCTAACCTCTTGTTTCACAGTCATCATGTCGTCATGCAGTTGCTTGTCACACTTTTTTGGAGAATCTCCTAACACCTTGGGCACACACCACCAAATTTGTCAAGCAACACTCTTTGGTACAGTTCTCTTACGTTTTTCAATATGAGTGTGTTTTGGGAAACCTAAATATGGAAAGATTTGGCCCTAGCTGTCAGTGATAAATGTACATAACCTAAGTAAGAATATCGAAGCATTGGAAGCTTGATGAAAGAACTTACATCTACCAGTTCTCTTTCTTGAGCGAGGTGTTTATTCAAGAAATGTTCAGTGACAGTGGACACTTTAATGTCAGTATCCAACATGCAGTTGACACCAGTCTGTCCCAGCCCCACTCTCAATTCTGGAAACTGCCCCGGCATCTATCTATGATTGAGCCCCTTTCCACAAGGTTCTCATCCATCACATGACTCCCAGCAGCAAGTGGGACTAGTTTATCCCCACTTTTTGATGGGTTGGGTATGCCATAATTGACCCTTTTTCTGGTTAGGACAATCACAACGGAAATGGTATTACATATCCAACAATCATTTTTGGAGACCCTGGTAATACTTCTACCACGTTTATTATGCTGCATAAACTTCATAAGAGCATTCTTGTCACTACTTAGGCATTCCATTAACACAATCTCATTCCAGACAACCTCAACCAAACGGTTCTTTAATTGAGCATCGACTGTAAAATCAGATGGCTTGCCCCCGAACCTATCAAGAACCCCTGGTGCGGCAAATATCTGCTTGTGCTGAAGCCCTTTCAACCTCATTTACAACCTTTTCTACAGCAAGTGCCATTCTAAGTGACCTTACATGTTAACTCTCTAATCTCATCTTTAGAACGCATGACTAACATACACAACGACAAAGAATCCAACAGCAAACTAATTCACAACAGTCTGATCCCATTGTAAATAATGTTCAACTTGGTTGGTCTTCATCTTTTGATTTGACCACTAAATTCAAATAAAGGAATGATACTCACTGCTCTTTATCTCTTCTCGGAGTATATTACTGTCTTGCCACTTGGATCCTGCCGACTACGCCAAAATGTAATAGGTCAAATTTACACCACCAAACTAAGAATGATGCTTGTATTTTTTCATACAAGATTGCCACGAAAGCATACACGAGAAGTCAACTCAAGTAACAGAAATACACAAGGATGTCAGCGATTATTCAATACATATCCAATAAGCATCCACTTATGTATAAATTGGATGACATAGTAAATTGTATTAAAACATGAGACAATAGTGTGATGAAAGAGTTAGCATTTGTATATAATATAGTATCCAAAAGTAAGTATACAACAGTTAATGCCCCAGATGATAAATAACAAACAAACATTTTTCAGGAACAGTACCAAGTGTTTAATTATTATGATGTTTGGCATAAATACGTTCATCATGAAATAGAATATCAATCGCAGTAAATCATTAAAAATGAAAGTTGCAGTTGTTATAATAGTAACAATTAAACCGTATACAATTAGAAAGACATGACATCCATTATAATTTAAAGCGCGTGTATCTAGTGATGAGTGAATAAGTGATCAAATTCTTCATATTAGAATTCAAGTTCCATAGCTTGTAATGAGATTTCCACAGGATAGGGATAGGTAGAACTCCGAAGAGGATTCTGTAAAGGTCAATCAAAAGTGGTTCTTTCATATTGCTAGATGTTAATTAAAACTATGTGCTAGATATTGTACATTTAGTTAGTATTGTCTCTAATCCTTAGCTGTTAAGTAGCAACCCTAATGTATATGGGCCTCTGGTTTTAGTGAAATTAATAAGAGCTCCAGTGAAGAGTTAACGGGCAGTAGTTGTCGCGCCACGCATGCGCGAGATATATGGGACCCATATAAACAAAGATGGCGACTTTGACTGTTGCGCAGATCAACGAGTACAAACTGACACGTTACCAAGCTTTAATTAGGTACTTTATTAGGTGTTTAGAAGGTATCGAAGGAGTCGGAGCGGTAATTAGTACTCGTCGCGCCCAGGTCGAACCTCATACTTGTGATTTCAATTAGTGCATTGAATTGTGGGAAAATCAATGTTTATCAACATAAATGTCGCATATGTCAGCGCGACGACTACCGCGTTTTAACTATCACCTGCCTGGGTGATTATTCGACATAACTAAAGTAGTAACATTGTTTCAACACCCATGGCAGGCTAATTTTAGCATGAGAAGACAGTGAAAGTCACAGCTTAATTGAACTTGAGAATTCACTGTTTGTTGTAGCCAGGGTCGTTAGAATGTGAGGGATTGTCTTCAAAAATATGAGAATAATATAATTAACAGAATTGTCAAAACAATACTATATGTTTATTAAATTTCAAAGGCGTTGAAAGGTAATACTATAAATACGCTTTCAGCCAAGATCCGGTAAAAACGCGTATGACTATGACTATGACAGCTGTGATTATATATAGTAGTTATGACAATAAATAGTGTACGAATTGAGATTTTATCGGATAAACGTCAAAAACACGAACTGGAAAAAGTGATGCGCTACTAAGCTTTAATAATTAACTGATGTCAATCAATGTCACGTGACATTGGCCGCTGGAACAAGTTGCGTCACCTAATCTCTAAAAACATTTTCACAGTTTCTAATGCTTTTCTCATTCTCACATAGCGGATTAAACGAAGACAATGAAAATTATTTTCACGAATTTAAAAAGTCGCCACAGAGAGTACGAGCCAGAAATACCCCTAGTCGTTTTTTAATACAATGAATAATGTGTTTAGCATTGTTTCCTGTTACTGGGTGGTAAATAGCGTTTTCCGGAAATAGCGCAGCATATGACATTAAATGGAACAGGAATGAGGCTCGAACCAGACGAT